CACCCGGAGCAGTGGGCAGCCATTTTTTTGCTGCGGCGCCCGGGGAGCAGTTGGGGGTTTGGTGCCTTGCTCAAGGGCGCCTCAGTCGTGGTATTGAAGGTGGAAGAGAGCGCTGTACATTCACTCCCCCCACCATCTTCCTCTTTATTGTGGAGCCCATGTTTCAGACGGCGGAGACTCTGTTTCTGGTTCCTGTCGTACAGCAGCCACATCGGCCATAAACACATCCAGTCACGATCAGAGCGATGAATGTCACTGCAGAAAGAATGAAACACAACTGACATAACTAACTTAACATGTGACTGGTATCTCTTCAGGAAGAGCTATAATTAGTGGCTTCTGGCAGTTTTCAGGAATGTAATGAAGGCTCTTGTTGTTAAAGGAGTCGTGTCATGAGGAATCAGATTTTTTGAGATCATTGTAAAGTAGGGATGGGCGTATCGATCCGAAGTATCGATATATCGATACTGATGCGAGTATCGAAAGTATCGATACTCAAACAAAAAATATCGATACTAAGGTGCATTTTATTTACCAGTGGTTTTGTTTATTTAACAAAAATATCGATACTGACGCGAGTATCGAAAGTATCGATACTCAAACAAAAAATATCGATACTAAGGTGCGTTTTATTTACCAGTGGTTTTGTTTATTTAACAAAAATAATAATAATAATAATGCATACAATATGCATTGAATTGGATGAATAACCTTTGTTAGCGAGTAATTGTGTAGGACTGAACTATTTTCCTGCTCATCTGAACACGCGCAAATGTTGCAAGAGAGAACCAATCAATCACAGAGAGCATTCACTCACTGCTGACAGTGCATTCAAACAGGGCTGCGTTTCCCAAACGTATCGTAAGAAAGCATTAAAGCTCTTGGGAACGGCAGCCCTGAACAATGCTTATCAGAGGACAGAAGAAAAAAATCATATATGTTTGAGTTATTTCACAATAAACAAATTGAAATTAGCCTGCTTAGTTTGTGCAATTACATTGATTGAAATTGAACGTTGAAAGATAATATTGATCATGTTCTGTTCTGTAATGTTAATATAAATCATACACTTGCAAAAAAAGGTTGCATTTTATGCGTGCAACAGCTGGTCACTGGCAGTCCCTTATGGAAATAACCCATGGTTTTACTAAAGTGACTGTAGTTCAACTGTAGTATTTGTAGATTCGATTCATGTGTAAACAAAAAACATATTTGAATCAGGTGTAAACAAAAATATAACCTAATAAGTTACAATTAAGACGTATTGAATGTTAAAATACGTTTTAAACAAAGTTAAGTGGTTATCATTACCCATTTTACTCTTAGTAATTTAATACATTTCATAATTTAAGAGTGTAGTTCAGAAGTATCGTATCGGTATTGATATCGACGATACTGCCTTGAAAAATATCGGTATCGTATCGAAAACAAAATAAGTGGTATCGCCCATCCCTATTGTAAAGTAAAATAGTTACAATTGACTATGAAATCTGTAACTTGCAGGACTCGAGACCTCATTTCCAGCTGCAGAACGACTCAAATGCTTGGATTTGTGATCATCATCAGAAACCTGAAACTGTAGCATATGTGACCCTGGAGCACAAAACCAGTCATAGCGACTTAAGACTGCTTTTGTGCTCCAGGGTCACAAATGTCCTCCCACATTTACAGTCAACTGCTTTTCAGAGTTTTCTAATGTCAGGATAGGTGCCGTGCCCTCACTAAAATAGCAAGCTAAGTATGGATGTGCGCTTGGTGGAAGCCTTTAATCGCAGTAGAAGCTCTCCGCCTTGTGTTCAAACAAAACCTCTTCCAAAATGACTCTAGATGTGGCCACAGTGCAGAGATGTAATGATAGTGTAGTGACAGTGGAGCTTACAGAAGAACAGCAGCATGATGAGAAACGCCGCCTGCGTGAGCGGGTGGTCTTGAGGAAGACCCTGCAGTTTGGTCCAGACGTTCTGTAGAATCGCCATCATTTCCTCTGAAGCGCTCATTCTGATCCTGCAGATACGCTGTGATAAAATAAAACACGTGACAGAGACATTTCCAGGGTCTTCAGGCCCTCTAGAAAAGAGCTGCTTTAGATTAGCGCTTCATAGTTGTACTAGCACATTATACATTATTATATATTAGCACATTTCATGTTTTAGATTACACTGCAGCTGGTGTTGGTTGACTTGCATTTTTCTCATGCATCATTCTGTGTTCACAAATGACTCATTTAACTATATAGGCATTTAAGAATGATTATTAATAGAATAATGTGTCCTTTTGTGTTGTCAGTTCGTGTGTTGGCAGCTTTTAGTCAAATTAATGCAGTATTTCAGCACCGAGGCCATGCACAGTGTTTCCTGTGAGGAAACTGTATCTTTCTTCCGTTTCACAGTTGTGTTCACCGAATGTGACTTGGTACTTCAAGCAACTAGGAAAAAAAAAAAACAGAACCAGCTAGTTGAGCTAGTCATTAAATTTCTGCTGTATGTGGGTGTGACGCCCGTGGGTGTGCCATCACGGTATAAAATGAACCCTGCTGATGAAAGAATCATTCCTTACTTTGGATTTCCTTGTTAAAATGAATTTAGATTGTCCCGTTTGAAGCTTACGTGTACCACAGTGTGTACTTCTGTCTGATCTCTTTATAGCAGCACTAGAAGTTCATCAGAACACTGTGGTGATATTCTGTTGAGTGTGTTATTCCTAGTAGAATTATATATGTATGTATGTGAACAGCAATTCACAAATTCTCAGTCTAATTCATATTCACAAATTAGCTGTAGCAAATGCACAACCCAATTTACATTCGCAAAATAAGATCCCTAAATGCAAAATGCAGTTCATAAATATGCACAATGCATATTTTTTGAATGTTTCTCACCGTATGAATTTGCAAACTCTCTGTCTATGCGAATGGCTATGTATTTCTGTGTGCCTATTTTGAGAATTTCCTGCCAGGGCCCAGTTTACATATTGCAGTTTTATTAAACTTACATTCTCTTTAGCCAGTCAGATCTGAGTGTGAACCCAGCCAGTCATTAATGCACCTTACTCATGCTATGACTCGGGAAGTAGTGCAATGTGCTTTGATTAGTTTTGTCGTTCAGATAACCAAACTCCACATGTATGCAGTTTTTGATAATAAAATTTGGTGTTTGCAAGGCTAGATATTGTTATGTGCACTAATCAAGGCATTGAATCATTGAGCAAGGCTGTGTATGATTGGCTAGATGGAAAACTAACATTTGTGATTGGTTAAAGAGAGCGTCTTGTTTGAAAAACACTAATTTGTAAATCGGGACTGCCAGGAAAAAACTTGCAAATGCATAATCAACAATCAATTTATACACGTAGAAACATTCAGAAATGTGCTGGCATACTTGTGTGAAGTATGAATATTATTTTGTGAATGTTCTGTACATTTGGTTGCGCATTTGTAAAATGTTTTTTGTGAATATTAATTAGGTTCTGAGTTTGTGAATTGGGAATTAGCTGACACATTTGTGAATCATGTTTTGTTGTCATTTTTGACACCGTTTTAACTCCATATTAGACAACTAAATATGACAATCGCAAGGCTTTCACTTTTCTTCATCATTTTTGGTGTTTCACTGATTTTTAGTGGATGTAAGAAGTGTCATAGTATTTTATTTTTTTGAACAACATATCAAGTGTAATAATTTTTGTGTAGTAAACAATATTTTTTTTTGAGAAATGTTTTACTTGAAATGCGTAAGAACAGAAATACAGTCAAATCAAGGCATGTTCTCCACAGAATCGCATTACATTTTTTTCTTTGTATGCATCATGATGATACATGGCTGTATAACAGCAATATTTTCATGCACATTTTTGCTAATGTTAATAGGTTTAAAAAAAAAAACATATTTTTAGGCAATGACACAAATTATTTATTGGATATGAATCTTAAAGAGAGCGTCTTGTTTGAAAAACACTAATTTGTAAATCGGGACTGCCAGGAAAAAACTTGCAAATGCATAATCAACAATCAATTTATACACGTAGAAACATTCAGAAATGTGCTGGCATACTTGTGTGAAGTATGAATATTATTTTGTGAATGTTCTGTACATTTGGTTGCGCATTTGTAAAATGTTTTTTGTGAATATTAATTAGGTTCTGAGTTTGTGAATTGGGAATTAGCTGACACATTTGTGAATCATGTTTTGTTGTCATTTTTGACACCGTTTTAACTCCATATTAGACAACTAAATATGACAATCGCAAGGCTTTCACTTTTCTTCATCATTTTTGGTGTTTCACTGATTTTTAGTGGATGTAAGAAGTGTCATAGTATTTTATTTTTTTGAACAACATATCAAGTGTAATAATTTTTGTGTAGTAAACAATATTTTTTTTTGAGAAATGTTTTACTTGAAATGCGTAAGAACAGAAATACAGTCAAATCAAGGCATGTTCTCCACAGAATCGCATTACATTTTTTTCTTTGTATGGATCATGATGATACATGGCTGTATAACAGCAATATTTTCATGCACATTTTTGCTAATGTTAATAGGTTTTAAAAAAAAAACATATTTTTAGGCAATGACACAAATTATTTGTTGGATATGAATCAGTCACTGTTCCTATGAATTGTGAGTCGAAGGCTGTTTGGGAAATAATCCAGTGTTGCAGTCTTCAGAAAATTGCTGTAATGACCAAATAAAAAGTGCATTACATTATTCACAATGGTGCTTAATTTTGCTAGTAAAATTATATTGCCAGCAAAATTATGGTTATACATAGCCCAGCCTACTCGCGTTATCTGGGTTTAAAATAATGCCACTTTTTAATGTCTTGTTATCGAATGCTTTCAAACTCTGTATGTAATTTGAGTGTTCAGATACTCTCGTGGGCCGCTGTGCAGTTGAACACACACACACACACACACACACACACACACACACACACACACACACACACACACACACACACACACACACACACACACACACACACACACACACACACACACACACACACACACACACACACACACACACACACACACACACACACACACACACACACACACACACACACACACACACACACACACAGTCATCCAGATAGTTTTCTGCTCTCACCTTAGTTTGCCGTTTTGTTCCTCTGTAACACTCCTCACATGGACTTGTGTGAAGTTTTGAGCGCTCTGTCCTGTCCCACAGTTGTTGTGAGCTGCTGAGTGACTAGCCGCTGTGCAGTCATGCTGTGTTTGGCCTCCAGTGTTTGAGATTTCCAGTATGACGAGTAGCTCCTACAGCACACACCACATGTTCTGTCAGTCTCTCTCTCTCTCTCTCTCTCTGTGTTTACCACGTCCATCCCCACCCCCTTTTTGTCTGGCTCTGTCTTTTCTCCTCCCCTCAAATCACTGTGGAAACTTTTTTTTTCTCCTCCTTTTGTCAAAGTCTGGAGGTTCTTTTGAAATGGACTGTTTTGTGTCTTGTGTGTGTGTGTCTGTATACTGGATTTGGAAAACAATATAGTGTTAAACATCTTTTTGAGGTTACATTTCACACCAAAAACAAGAAGGCTAGCAAGCATGCAATTAAAAAAAAGAAAAAAAAAAAAGGAAATAAATAAGTGATTGCATGAATGAATAAGTCAATAAATAAACATTATCGTATAATAAAAGTATTGTAACATTAAATGTAATATAAAAATATTTTGCCTAAAGACTATGAGGTCTATTTAGGACAATTATTTTTACAGTAAAAATACAATAATACAGTGTACAATTGTACAGTGTACTTTTTTTTCGTTTTTAAAATAATGGCAAATAGTATAAATGCTTTACAGTTGAAATAATGTTTTAGATATAGTATTAGATCTATTTTTTTCCATTGAGAATTAGGTGTAATGTACCTTGTTGTCATGAAAATAATGAAAAAAAGGCTTCATGTTCCTAAAAAAACAGGCTTAATTTTCCTAATTTCTTTTTATTTTGAAAAAAAAAAAAAGAACTTTACATGTGAAATTTATTTATAGTTAGTTTATGTGCTCCCTCTTGTCATACAGCCGAGGAAACTTTCACGCCTTATAAGTGTGTGTGATTTTTTTTAAATGTATTTTTAATGTTTACTGCTCAATTTCAGCCTTTGTTTTCCATTTGTTTACCATGAAGTTCCATATGGCTTCAGACATCTTGTGTTTGGATTCAGAAAGGAGGAAAGCATTGCTCTGTATGTGTCTTTAGAGGAAATCACTAATGGGAAACGTGGTCTATAGTGAACAGTGAGAGCGGGGGAATGGGGCTCTGGTTATGGGCGGCAGTGTTGGCACAGTGGGTCTTTGTGTGTCAGACCATGTAAATGTGTTTTGGGAGGGTAGCTATTTCAGACTCTGAAACCTGAAACCCAGAAGTCAGTGAAGAGAGAAGCGCACGTCTCTATTTTAGAGGTCACACAGGATGTGTGTGCACAAGTCTTTATACTTGTAGAAAACACCCCCTGTTCTTCACTAAAACAAAATGAGTATTCTCGAACAGAAGTTATCATGTACTACCTACCATATGACATGAAACACAGAAGCAGACTGTTTTCCATACAGTGACCAGCAGGGGTATTTTGTCTAAGGCAGCAAGAGAAATATAACGGGAAAAATTGGCAGTACAAAAATAAAAAAAGTACGCTATGGAATAACTTCTCGTCCAGGCTCATGTCATTTCTAGGCTGGACTATTGCAATGCTCATCTGGCTGGACTTCCAGCATGTGCAATCAGACCTCTGCCAATGATTCAGAATGCAGCAGCACGTCTTGTTATGTCACACCGCTTCTCATCTCTCTGCACTGGCTTCCAGTTGCGGCTCGCATCAAGTTGAAGACATTGGTGCTTGCCTACAGAACAGCCACAGGCTCCGCACCCTCCTACCTCCGCTCTCTCTTATACATCTACACCCCCTCCAGAAGCCTGCGGTCGTGGTCCCATCACAGAGAGGCACAAAATCACTCTCCAGGACGTTTTCTTTCACCGTACCCTGTTAGTGGAATGACCTACCTAACTCCATCCAAACAGCCGAATCCCTTACAATCTTCAAGAAACAACTGAAAACTCATCTCTTCCGTGAACATCTAACGGCATCCTCCTAAAAAAATCAATTCCATGCCTTCACTTTTTCATATCAGCAGCTAAATCTGACATGAACTGTTCCATATGTGACTGTTTCTATGGCAACCAGAGCTTCTAATGTCAGGTGCAGTGATGTGATGGCTTTACCAACTGGCCATTGGCTCTTGTATTTAGAAGGTGGGACTTATTCCGCCATATTGCACTCTTGCGCTTTCTCCCATTTATATGTAATGTGAATGCACAGTCTTTATATATCTAAAACCTTTAGTCAAACTGAGCACTTTCATCAGTCAAAAGGAACCTGTCAGCTTTTAATAGTGCACACTTCATTGAAATAAAAACATTTCTTTGGGCATTTGGTCTAAAGGTGCGGTCACATCGGCGAATTTCAGTGTGACCAAGCAAAATCTGCTTATATTGAAATTACTGTATTTCTGATAACAGCTTGCTGTAAAAGTAAAATGAAATTAAATTAAATAAAAAAAAGTGAAATTTGCAATAAATAACCAGCTTTTGCCAGAACTTTACCATAAAAAATGTTAGCTACATTTGAAGTTTTATAGGTTGAATATGTATTTTAATTAACTGAAATAATGTTAATATACCAAATTACTAAAATATAGCCACATAAAGAATCAAAGCTCATCACAAATTGCTTTTCCACAAGCTGAGATAAATAATCATAACAATCAACACCATCATGGTAACACACAACACTAAAATAATGCAATAAACATTGTTTTAACAACATAAGTACCATAAATAACATGTAACATAAAACTAAATTATATTCCAGTTATAAATGTGCTTCTGATTACAGAGAGCCTGGGATTACACACGATTTGTATTTTAAAGAAAACCAGTTCAAAGGGAGCATAATTTGCTTTTTGGGTTAAAAAGAATTTCTTAATATGAAATTCGAAGAGTATGACAATTAGATTAGACTGTGCAGAAATTGAAATCTACACGCTAATACACACTATACTCATAGTCACCAATGCTGATGTTGTTAACATTAATCATTTGAGAATAAAGTATAACAATAATAATAATTTGAACGGTTTGATGTGATATGAGCTAACCAATCGTTAGATTTAATCCCCATTGGTAGTGAGATTTATGGTAATGCTTTTTTCCTCGGTTGGTCAGAACAAACATGGCAGACTTGTTACTTACTTGTTCAGATGGCAATTTATGGTGATAATTCTTATTTGGGTCATATTCCAAGACGTAGGCTAGAATCTGTGATTACTAAGTATAGGATTCACACCGGTGCGGTGACTGACTGCCACACATACTCCTCAAAACATTAGATTCATCCGCGCTGGAGCCACGCCGTCTCACAACCCACGCAAGCTAGTTAATTCCGCACACAGCTGCAATTCCAGGTTTTCAAACAGAGATGGCGACAAAGAGTTACAACTTACGGACTGCAGCTTTAATGCACATGACTGATAAGAACAAAAGTTTTTCAATGAAAATCAAATGTGCAGTGTCACAGAGAATTAATTCTGGGAATGTCAATTTCCTGTTTTTCACTATAAATGATAAGATTATACAGAAAACTGTACATTTGACAGTATTTTTCTGTAAAATCACATAAAATGCCTCAGATCTATTACAGTGTTTTGCTGTACATAATAAGGGAATTTACTATTAACCAAATAACAGGCTTTTACCTTAGAATTTTTACAGTCTCTACCGTTAAAATTATAATCATTTGTACAATCTTTCATTCCATGTCATGAGAGTTTGGAATTATTTCGTATTCTCTTTAATGGTTCCATCATTCTTAATTTCCAGGTGCAGACACGCCACCATCCGTACTGTATTGATCAGAGCTGTTAGTCTGTGGAGACTCGGAGCTTCTGTGTGTGTGTGTGTGTGTGTGTGTGTGCAGATATGATGAGGAATGGAGCAATGAGGAAGATGATTCCGAGAAGAGGAAGAAAGAGCTCGGAGATCTCTTCAGGAAACAGTTGATGCTGAGAAGGGTGAGCACACGGACGGGGCACTCACTAGCAAAAGGACAAATAGTGAATCTCAAAACATATCCAGTTCACTCTGCACTCCAAAAAATTATGGAAGCCCATTTCCGACACTGAATAAAAAATAAACAAGGTAATTGCGACTTTTGATCTCACAATTCTGAATTCTCTAAATTATTTTTTTCTTGAATTTGCGAGTTTATATCTCGCAATTCAAACTTTTTTGCTTGCAATTGCGAGTTAATATCTCGCAAATCTGACTTTTTCTCGCAATTCGAGTGCTATTGTCTATGGAAGCCCATTTCTGCCACTGAATCAAAAATGGCAACTGTGACTTTTTATCTCGCAATTCTGACTTTTTTTCCTCAGAATTGCGTGATATAAACTCGCAATTGCGAGTTAAAAAGTCATAATTGTGAGATATACAACTCGCAATTCTGAGAACATATCGGTCTCCCCCACCCCGCCCCCTCAAAATTGGACTTTAACTCGCAATTGCGAGTTTATATCTCACAATTCTGTGAAAAAAGTCAGAATTGTGAGATAAAAAGTCACAATAACTTTTTTTTTTATTTTTTATTCAGTGGCGGAAACGGGCTTCCATAATTGTCCAATAGTCCAATTCTGAGGAAATTTTTTTTTACTATTCCACTAATTTTTGTACAATTTCATGTTTATATCTCGCAATTCTGATTTTATGACTCGCAATTGTGAGTTTATATCTTGCAATTCTGAGAAACAAGTCAGAATTGTGAGACGTAAACTCGCAATTGCGAGAAAAAAAAAGTCAGAATTGTGAGATTAAAAAGCCACAATTACCTTGTTTTATTTTTTATTCAGTGGCTGAAACAGGCTTCCATAAAAGATTCCATTGCCAACCATGGATAAATGATATTATATAAAAAGTTCCACAATGAAAACTCTAAAGAGTTGGAAGAGTTTGTCATGATGATACAAACTGAGCCTCATTATTTTGATTGACTGATAGATTTTGTTGTCGTTGTGCAGCACTTTTTGTTTTAGCTTTGACAAAACAATGCTCGTCACTGGAATATTGTTGCATTGCTGGTGGTTTGTACACAGTATAATGAGTCCAGTTGCTTTTCATTTTTTCATAGTTTTTGAAATTCCCAGGATTCCCATTAATAATTTTCATGACTGTAAAACAGTAAATACAGAAATACACAGCTGTTCAAAAGTTTGGGGTCGGTAAGATTTCTTAAGTGTTTTTGA